TTCCCGGCAGCAAAATGGAGGAGAAGATGCATGTGGAAAAACAAGCGACAATGGCCCTATTTGGTTCAGTTGTGGATTTCTAAAAGTAGCTGTGAAAAATCTGCTGTGGAAAAACAGCTGTGAAAAATCTGATGTGAAAAAGATGTAGGCCATTTGGCAAACCAGCTGATATAGCTTTTTCAGATTTTGGCCCGCAGCGGAATCAGATTTTGGAAAGCACGTTCTGGGCTGCTTCTGCTTTTGGTTCAGATTTTAGCAGCGGATTTTTGGAATCGGATTCTGCTGAGTTCGCCCTTTGGTTCAGATTTTGCTGCGCGGTAGCGGAATCTGTCGATAAAAGCTGAACCAAACAGGGTCAAAAAGACGCTAGCAAGGGAAGAAGAGAGGACGACGGAGGCAAGGGTAGTGGGCGCGTCGCTGTCCGTCGAATCCCACGCACGGTCTGTCTCTCGGTGTTTTGTGTACGTCTCGTCCCGTCGATTCTCATTCATCGATCGGGGTTTTGAATGAAAAATCAAAAGCGAGAGCGACCTTTGGTTTGGTAGCTGCCCCCCTGCCGGACCATACATGGCAATGGCAATGGCAGTGGCAATGGCATAGGGGCCTAGTTCCCGAAAACTCCGAATACATTCTTTTCTAGGAGTAGCTTAGTGAGTCCATTTGACCGCTCGCCGGGCTATTTAAGACGGCATGATGTGACTTATGAGCCGATCGGCCACGTTGATCGCGTGAGCGGACAGACCGACGATGCCACGAATAAACACAACGCATGTTTCTTTGGACAAACATCGATATGAACAATGATGATCTTGGTTGAGTGTAACACATGTTTCTTTGGACAAACGTCGATATGAACAATGATGATCTTGGTTGAGTGTAACTTTTTGGAGTTTCATAGGGTTTTTGAATCCTTGGAATTTATTATTTGGTGTCCGTTTGATTCATAGGATTGAAATCCTCATGGAATTTTCCTTACCATTCATTTGCACTTCATTCGAAGCCTCAAAGGGAAAATTATTCATCCACTACAAAACTATCGGTAGAATTTCTTTGTTTTTTCTGTGTTGTCAAACACTACATATTCGGAATTCATATAGAGTAGTTTTTAATTATATGGATGTTCAAGAGCACATGTCACTCTAATTGTTTTTTCCTCCTAGGCGTGAATCTTTGAACTTTCGACGGCGATCGGAAGTGGATGCATAGCCCACTGATTCTCTTTTTGAGAGGAACAATGTCAGTCAAACATGAATTCTTACGCGGAGGCGGCTTTAGGGATGAAAATATCAACAACAAGCAGATCTCAAAAGACGTATTTGTTGGAGATAGCCCACTTAGTGAACACTATCTATAATGCCTATAGAAAACATGATGCTGATGTTAGTTTTCGAACAGTGCTTATTTGTGACAAAATGGACGACATGGCTCACTCGGTTAACTGGGTAATGTTTGTCACTTGTATTTAAAAATTGTGTTTTCCAACTTTCCTCTACGTTGTAAGGTATTTTAAGTCAAATCTATGCCTGGCGATACGGTAAACAGTAATCATCATGACAAGTAGGGGGATGGTTCGGCTGGTGGGCAAAATTCGAGTGGTGGCACTGACCCCCGTTTTACTCAATCCGAATGGGATGGAATGGAGCCTGAGGAACAAGAGCTGTTTAAGGCCAATGCCCCGGTTGCTAATGCTTAGAAGGATGATTTGGCCTCTTGTGTGAATGCTACTAGCAAAGGCACGCCCTTCTCTGGTGTCTGCTCCAATTTGTCTGCTCGTCCGCAATCCCCTTCCTTCTTTGGGATCAAAGATCTTCCTGCTTCCCCCCCCCCTCTATCCACTGGGCCTCCGTCTAAGAAGAAGAAGAAGTCCTCGGTCCGGAAGTTTTTTGCTAAGAGTAGGGTTTCATCTGGCTTCGAGCAATCTATGGCGGGTCTAGCTCGTCGTCTAGATAAGGACATGGGTTCTACTTCGGGATCTGGTCTGGGTCCGGCGTCGCCTGTGTGTTCTCCGTTGCTGCGCTCGCCTGCGCCCACGGAGCGCAAGGGCCGGTGCGTGCGTGACTCTGGCGAGTCTGTGGCGGTGAGGGCTGAGAGGCGCGCTGCGGCCAGGGATCTTCCTTCTTCAGGTACGCCTGTCCATACCCCTCTCCCTGCCTCCCCTATTCGTCTCGTTTTACCTGCTCTTTCGGATGGTCATTTGCTACATATTATGTCGGATGTTGGTATGTCTGTTGACCCGGGGATGGGTTCTCCTTCTCGTCTTCTATCCGTCATTAGGGCAAATGAGGTTGCCCAGGCAGCTATTACCAAGGCCATGGAGGTCGCGGATGCTATGGGGCCTGTTGCGGCCAAGGGTCGGCCTGGGGAGGCTGGAGCGACAATTGGTTGTGGCCAGTCGCCTCCACCTCCCTCCCAAGCGAAGAGAGGTTAGTCCAAGCGGTCTAAATCATGTCTGGCCCCGTGCAGATCTAGTCTCCATATTAAAAACCTTTCCTATAAATGAAATCTCTTTTTTGGAATGTTAGAGGTTTCGCCGCTAGGGGGCGTCGAGACCAGATTCATGACTTGGTTTGCGGTGAGCACATTGACATTTTAGGGCTTGTTGAAACATTTAAGGAATCTTTTTCCTCCTTTGAACTGTTTGCGGTTACAAGCATGGATAGGTTTGACTGACACTACCTTCCTGCCTCGGGTCACTCTAGGGGCATCTTGATAGGGTCTAAGCGGGATGTGTTTGATTTCATTACTTTTGATCATGGCATCTTTTGGGCTAGCATTGTGGTTCATCATCGTCAGCTAACCACGTTATGGGAGTGTTTGGTGGTCTATGGCCCCGCCGACCACTCCCTCGCTCCTTTGTTTCTTGATGAGCTTTCTAATAAGATTGAATCTTGTAATATTCCTTTATTAATTGGTGGTGATTTCAATTTGTTGCGTTCCCCGGCGGATAAAAATAGCCCTAACTTCTCTT